ACAAAGCCTCACCATCCTCGCTTCTAAGCAGTATTCTGGCTCACTTCTTCCAAGACAAGTTTGTTCATTCTTCTGGCAGTCCATAGAATATTCAATACTCTTCGCCAACACCATAATTCAAAGGCATCAATTCTTCTTTGGTCTTCCTTATTCACTGTGCAGCATTCACATGTACACGAGGACATAATCACCTGACATAATCTTCACATAACCCTATGAGGTAGGTAGGTACTACTTAATCCATTCTACCGCTTAGTTAGGACACTGGCCCAGCGGTCCCATGCCTGGTAACAGGCCGAGTTGGGGATCTGGTCCCAGGCAATCTGACGCTGGAGCTTCCATCTGAACTGTTCGAAATGCAGCTATAAAAGAAAACTCAGTCCTTCGAGGGCTCTAGATCTGAGCTGGCATCATTACCACTGAGCACCCATCTGCACTCCTGTAAGCATTTACCTGTACGCATTCATCCCTGCAAGCATCTACCTGCAAGCATGCATACAGTTCAGAGCTTCTGTTTATCCAAAAAACGTTTTCAGCGCATCCCTTCCTCGTCTTCTCAAGGGCAAGAAGCACGTGGGCCAACCAGAGCCGACTCGGACTACACCGGTTCATGAAATAAGAAATCCCTGTCTATGGCAATCTGAGTACCGACAAACTTTAAATTGTAATTCTAAAATGATAGAATTACCTAACCCAGCTAGGTCTTGTTCGGCTGCTTTTCCTGGTGACAGGCAGGCACGTTCTACAAAGTGACGCTAAGAGACAGGTACAGACAAGTGCGACCTCCACCCGATTACAGTCCGCGCAGAAAGGTCGGGCCCGCGGTCCTGAGGTCCCCAGTCGCGCGATCCCCGCTCTCCAGGCCCAGCCAGGGTCTCCTGGCCCGCGCCCTCCAGACCCAGCCTGCGTCTCGTAGTCTCCGGCTCTCTAGATCCAGCCCGGGTCTCAGAGCTCCTCGCCCCCGAGGCCCAGCCTGGGTCTGATAGCCCCCTCACCCCGGCCCAGCCCGGGTCTCAAAGCTCCGCGCCTCCGAGGCCCAGCCCGGGTTTCACAGCCCCCCCACTAAGGCCCAGCCCGAGTCTCATAGTCCCCCACCCCTGGGCCCAGCCAGGGTCTCACAGTCCCCCCACCCCCCAGGCCCAGCCCAGGTCTCATAGCCTCCCAAACCCCAGGCCCAGCCGGGGTCTCCGCGCCCCCGCCCTCCAGGCCCAGCCCGAGTCAACGAGCCCCCGCCCTCCAGGATGCGCCCGGGTCTCCGGCCCGGCCCAGACTACTAAGCTGAGTCACCGCGTCCGTGACCCCAGACTGACCAAGCCCGAGGCCGGAAAGTCGGGTCCAAGGGCCCGGGACGCCAGTTGGGCCGAGCCGCGCCCCCGGGGCGCGCTTCGGTCCCCGACCAGCTGGCGGTCTCCGCACTGCTGGCCTTTCCAGGCAGAACATCCCAGGGTCAGGCCCGTCCGGCTCTGAACCCCAACATGGTAACTATGCGGCGTCCGCGGGCCGGGCGGTCCACCGAGGCTGCGACGTCCCGGCGGGAGGGAGCCGGCCAGGCCGTCCAATGTGGCCAGGCCTCGCGAACGGCCTCCCTCACTGCTCCTAACTTCCGCCGCTCGCCGCCCCGCTTACTTGGCTTTGAGGGGAAGCAGCTCCTCAAACTGCCTGGCTGAGCCAACCTCCACCACAGCTACTGCCGCCGCCTCTAGCGCCCCCGCCGCCATGCTGCCGCCACCAGACAGGAGCAATCGAGCGCGGGCGGCTCGGTGGGCGGGGCCGCGGCACCGGGAAGCTGCACTCCGGCAAAGCGCCGTTCCCCGCAGGCCCCGCCCCTCCTGGTCTGCGCATGTCACCTTCGGGCCACGCCCCTCCTGTAGGGCCCTCCCCCCACAGCCACGCCCCTCAGACCTCGCCCCTCCCGGAGACCCCGCCCCCACGGTCTCTGTGAGCCGCCGGCGAGAACGTGAAACCACGGAAGTCGCGCTGGCACTGGCCCAGGCCAGGGGTTCCCACCCGGAATCCTCACACCAAGGTCCTGTCAGGTAGCCATGTGGCTGCACCGTCCAATATGGTGGCCATAGGGCTATTTAGATGTGTCATAAGTGTAGACCACATGACCATCGTAGACCATATGATTGATTCAAAAGGGCCCATACCAGTCCATTTCGGCTCACTAATGCCTAGGATAGCTATGAGTCGGAATTCACTCAGTGGAAATGGGTTATTTTAATGCCTAGGATACTGATCTTTTTACATTCCATTTCATTTTGACAACTTCAAATTTTCCTAGATTCATACTTCATACATCTGCATTCCACGTTCCTATTATTAATGGATGTTTGCAGCTGTTTGTCCCAATTTTGAGTCGTGCCACATCAGCGAACGAAGGTCCCAAAAGCTTTAGTCCACTTACATCTTTAAAGTCGACCATACTTTGAGGCCAGAGCCCTGGTGGCACTGTGGTTAACAGCTCCGTTGCTAACTAAAAGGTCAGCAGTTCCAATCCACCAGCTGCTCCTTGGAAACCCTATGGGGCAGTTCTACTCTGTCCTGTAAGGTCCTTATGAATCAGAATCTACTCGAAGGCAAAGGGTTTTTGTTTTGTTTTCGTTTTTGTTTTTTTGATACTTTGAGGAGGCAGCTCTTCCCCAGTTGAATTTTGAGTGTCTTCCAACCAGATATGCTCCTCTTCCAGAACTATATCAGACAATGTTCCGCCGCTATCATAAGAAATTCAAACTGGATTCAGAAGAGAACATGGAACCAGGCATATCATTGCTGATGTCAGATGGATCTTGGCTGAAAGCAGAGAATACCAGAAAGATGTTTACCTGGGTGTATTGACTATGCAAAGGCATTCGACTGCGTGGATCATAACAAATTATGTATAACATTACCAAGAATGGGAATTCCAGAACACTTAATTGTGCTCATGCGGAACCTATACATAGACCAAGAGGCAGTCATTTGAACAGAACAAGGGGATACTGCATGGTTCAAAATTAGGAAAGGTGTGCATCAGGGTTGTGCCTTTTCACCATACATATTCAATCTGTACGTTGAGCAAATAATCTGAGAAGCTGGACTCTGTGAAGAATAACAGGGAATCAGGATTAGAGGAAGACTAACAACCTGCGATATGCAGATGACACAACCTTGCTTGCTGAAAGTGAAGAGGACTGGAAGCACTTACTGATGAAGATCAACGACTACAGCCTTCAGTATGGATTACGTCTCAACATAAAGAAAACAAAAATCCTCACAACTGGACCAATAAGCAACATCATGATAAACGGACAAAAGATGACGTTGTCAAGGATTTCATTTGACTTGGATCTACAATCAACGCCCATGGAAGCAGTAGTCAAGAAATCAAACGACGCATGCATTGGGACAATCTGCTGCAAAAGACCTCTTTAAAGTGTTGAAAAGCAAAGATGTCACTTTGAGGACTAAGCCATGGTATTTTCAATCATCTCATATGCATGCAAAAGCTGGGCAATGAATAAGGAAGACCGAA